AAAAATTTATTTTCAACATAAAACACGACTGTTATATTTTTAATTATTTTTTATAAAAAAAAAATTCTACACTCTACAATTTATCGTTTAGATCATTCTCACCACTTTCAAAGTCTCTTTTAATATTCTCAATTTTTTCTTTCGGTTTAAATCCTTTTCTAATCCATAATATTATTTTTCTGATATTTTTTAATAATTAATGTGTACTTGAAGCCATGGATTTCTTAAAAAACAGTCATGGCAACAATTAATATTAACATTAAAGTCCCTGACAAGTATTTTGTCTCTAAAGTTAGCACATGATTCACATATTGACACTTGGGGTCACTAGTATTTTTTTTCCTCATCCCATCAATAACTGTAACTGATTTAGACTTTGCAAATAAAATAAAATAATCAACTGAGCATTTATTAAAGCTATTAATGTGTCAGTATAAATAATATCCAAACAAAACTAATTAAACTTCTGTTTGCTATTTCCAGAGCGGTATAAAGAAAGATAGTTAAAGATGAACCAGGTGGTTTATGTAGACCCTTTAGTTGTAGCTCGAGGGAGAACACAATGCGTCGCAATTTCTCTTTTTCTCCAGCTCTCTCTCTCTCTCTCTCTTGCTTTCTTTAACGAAAGATTCGATCTGATCTGATTGTGATCTTGGATAACCTGAGCTCGCAAATAATGATTGTTAAACAAGCCGCGTAGTAGTTAGGTCGTAGCGCAATGGTGCGTACCATGTGTGAAAGAACGTGTCCAACGGCACCTTGTTACGAGCGACTAAGCTGCAGTAAATTTGTGAATAACTCGCAATAAGCTAGAGACTAGTCATTCTGATGATTCATAACTTTCAAATATTCTACATCTAATAACCACCAATGCCACTTTTATTATCTTTATTTATCTTATGTTTAAAAAATACCCAAGAAAGTGCAAAGAAATCGCGATAAATTAAATGTAGAATTGATTTTTTTTAATCCACTTGATAAAATCAGTAAAAGTCTCGACTTAATCGTTGGACTTAACATTAAATTTGCAAGTCACGTTCTCTCTTGAACATTTCAAATTCAATTGAGATGACTTATTGAGAAGCTTTTACCATCATTGAATGCACTTTTAACCAATTTCCCGTGATATTATAGTTTTTTTTCTGCTAACGGAATAGTGAAATGGATAGAAAAAAATATGAAATAGAGTATATGTTTATAACGATAGACAAGAGAACATGTCTAGAGCTTGTTCAAGTTAGAGATTTGAGAGATAGATCTCGACCCGCCCCATTGCATGCCACGCGATACTCAATTGACGCGTTCCTGATCATCTATAACGTTCAAGAGAGCTCACGTGCCTTCAAAGAGAGCAATGGACTATCTCGTCCTTTACCCTCAACTTACACCTGATACCCAACTTGTTATTTTGTCATCTACTCTTTGTCTCACTGGACTATTACATGCTATTTATTTTTACCCGTTGATATTTCCTGAAGTGACGTTGGCAATAAATGTTTAAATATCCGGTTAAATAGCACCTGTTGTTGATGGGGTTGGAGACCTGGTATTTTAACCGTATCAATATAACTTGTTGCTGCACTTCCTGCTTGGTAATATTCCAATTATCAAATTAGACTGTTGACATGTTGAGTGTGGTATTTATTTGATAATGGAATGATTGAGATTTTAGGTCAATATTTATTTCTCTATCATCAAGTTTCATGTCAACATTTGCTTACAATTAACCGGGTAAATATAAAAGTTAGGTTTAAACATGTATCCTTTCTGGGAATAAATAGAAATAGAAGAGAATACAACAAGTGACAAAGCTGCTAAGTGCTGGATTGTGTACGCACAAGGTCCTCTGGTATGGAGCACCTGATGCACACCAGTTAGCTGCACTCATCGCACACATCGTGCTCTGCCTTTTCTTTGCATACCTAACTCATTCACTACTATTCGTTCACTTTCCCACGGAATTTTGCTCAAAAAATTCTAAATATCTAAGTGAATATTAGCTAACAATGAAAATATTCGAATTAGCAGATAATTTAATCCATTGGCAGGGATAATTAATCAAAAATACTTGATAGTTATTGATGATGGATTAAATGACTGATATCAATTCGTTGGTGGCGTTGATGATTATTCATTCGCAAGATAGAAGCTAGGATTGGAATGGAATATATTGTAACAGATATATTGATGAAATCCAACAAGAAAAGGTGTTTGATGTTTACTCAGTTAAATGAGCATCTATGGCTCTTTTCTGATTGATACAGATGACTACATTTAACCAATATGTGCTGAATATCATCATGCACTACTCACGAGACGTCAAGAAAAACAGGTTTAACATATTATACATATGCATATGTTTTAATGTGTATGAACACACTATGTTGTATTTTATCTTTGTGTTTGCTAAAGAAAAAGTGTGCCCACATGCATGCTGACCATTGATATCAAACGATCAGTGCAACAGGTGCACGAGATCGATCCTTAGCACTATTAGATAGCTGGAAAAATTCTTTAAATTCTTGGCGTAATTTTGTATCGAGAGAAATCTTTACTGATGACTTTATTTTATTTTTTGCTTCATAGAAATGACTTTTTTATTATAATATTCCTGTGTTCATTTATAAACATTCAACACAGCGAAAAAAAGAATGGCTTTTCTTTGCTAATGTGCTCTGGAAAAGACATTTACTGTAAACAAGTGATATTTTTTTCTACTAATAAAATCGAAAAATTGACATGGTAATTCTTGAAGCTTCAGAATAGGCTTATATTGATATGGCATTATTTGATAAAGGAATGGAGTGTATGAAAAATTGAGACAATATGAGAATGAGAAAGGTAGAGAGTAGGAAAGTGTTTGAAACTGAATACATGTAACAAAGCAGTTAGGGTTGATAATAATTAGAAAAAGAAAAAAAAAATGAAACTTTAAGGCGATAGGCTTGTAGAAAGACAAATAAGTGTTTGTAGGCTCGTCTATTGGAATCAGCTAAAATTCATCTAATGTCACTTGTATTTAAATATTTATTTCATACTTAATGTTTTTTTTATTATTCCATCATTATCAATATTGACTTATTATAATATAATATGTTAATAAAAAAAAAGAATAATTATTAATAATTAAAATACAAATAAATAATTAAATAACCCAAATTGCAAGCAAAATTTTATTATGAGGAAGAATGAAGAATAAATGATGACAAGAATACAAAATTTCTGATCAAAGTAACGATACACATTGATTCCAAAGATTATTAATAAAAATTCAAATGTATTTACAATTGAGCATAAAGTAAATTAGAACTGGAGAACGCAAAGTTACAGTCGAGTTTGCGGACTTGGGTGGAGTATCTACACTTATTCGTTCGTAAGTAGAATAGATAGGTAGGATGCAATCGGGGCCAGGTGTGGCACGTTGAAGTCGAGAGCACAAGTCTCACTTCTATGCCTTCTACTAAGACTATCCTTGTCTCCTGAATGCACCAACACAACTGGACAAGCATGCGAGAGTGCAGTAGACTATAAATAGATTCGAGCTACTTGCACACGCAGAACTAAGGCTGAACGATATGAAGTGTACAGGGGGCCTAGTCTCTTTCTCTCTCTCAGTCTCTTCATTCCTCTCTTCGCTCTTTTCTACCTCAGTTAACTGTATAACCAGAAGAGCCACGCAATTAACCATCCGACAACTCGATACTTGTATTAATAAACAAAACAAAATCACCCTGTAACTCTGATCATCAACAGCATCATCCTTGACTTCTGACCAGGATCTTCCTTCCAAAATCCAACCATTCATCCTAAAACTTAAGCTAATTTTCATCAACTATTTCTTCTGCTTGGTCTAAAGATATGCCGTAAGCAACAGGAGGTAGACTACGTCCTGAAGCTGAGCGTCACGCGAGCCAGAATGACCCGTAAAGATACCAGAGTCCAAGCATGATAGGCCAATATATTCGCGCTATTATAATAGTCCTCGACGTATTTACCGTAAGTAAGGTGATTATCGTTACGCTGTCGTTGCGTTAAGTGTTGTCTACTCTATCTTTTTCTCCAATTTCTCTTGTCATTTTTATCCTTTACTTCCCCCTCACATGGAAGAAGCAATATAGCAGTGAATAGTTTGAACTTAAGATAGGAGTTGGTGCATAGGAGCGAAGGAGGAAGCCCCCAAGGTGTGACCGTAGAGCTTTTTCATCGAACCGGTTTGTTTCTTCTTCGATGAGACGTTTTCTTGTTTGACTTCAGGGATAGTAAAGGCGGACGGATTGTTATAGAGTCTAAAGTACCGGTGAGTTTCTCGTCATTAGTCATGAACTTAAACCTCATCTAATCATCTAATGATCCATTTTTTTTTGAATAAGAAATGATCCATTTTTTACCTAAAATGTTTTCTTATGATAAATCTAGTGATTATTAGTTATAATTAAGATTGAATGTCAGGGAAAAAATGAAAGGAGGTAAAATGCTTTCTTAACAATTTGCCACTTCCGGTCGGAACTCGTTCTACCAAGACGTCTGGTGATCGTTACGACGACACATTGGACACGTCTGGCAATAGCATCCCTTTCCTTTAGGCTTGTGTTTGTGTATATATATCTAAATATGTTGGTGTAAATGTATCAAGAACCCTCGGAAGTAAGCAACTTTTACCCCTAATAATATAAGCCACCTGACATCGGACAACTGCTTTAAGACGTTGCAGTTGTCTCGAAAGGAGTGCTAGGAAACATATCAGCAGATGCCCTTCCACCCCAACTGCGATTAGGAATTATTTTTTAAGGGTTGAAAAATTGTCCAATAATAAGGTCTAACAGCAGCAGACATTGTTGGAAGGAAATATATCCCAACTGTCTGATAAGTCTTCCAAGATGTTGGAAGGTGTTCCAAGTTATTCAACGTTCCCGCCAAAACTCTTTTAGATGAATAAAAAAAAATGAACACATCTATCTAGGGGGATAGCTGTTGGTGATAGTAAAATAAAAGAAACTCACTTAGAAAATGATGATTTAGGGTATGGATACCCTAGGATATTTTAGAATGAGGCGTTGAAATCTCTTCCAGTCTTAAACACTACACACTTTGGCACTCAAGAGTTAGTCACATTAATGCACTTGGTCTTCATCAAGCACTGAATGAAGATTGGATGATTGATACATAATGAGTGTCACAATGAATTTTATAAAAACCAGACAGACGTGATGATGAATGTAAAATCCAATAAATGGTTCAACACATCACATAAACAAGTGTCTATTTGAAGCACAAAAGTAGTCAATAATAATTAGTTTGTCACCTGCACTCGCGTAGGCGGTAAAACGAGGTTTTCGCGGTCCGTCGGATTCGGTTTCTTAGATTCGCACCAACTGATTGAGGTGGTCCGGTCGGGCGCACAGTCACAGTCCACGAAGCGTGTTCAGTCGTAAAGCTCAATGCTCTTAATTCAGTATGATGATCAAGAGCATGAGTGACTACTGATAGAGCGCACTACAGTCTCCAAGTGTTTTGGTCTAGAGTCTCACCAGCCTACCAGGTACGAAGTAGACGCGGGATAGAGACTCGTGGCGGAAATCTAGGCTGCATGAACCTCATGGAGCGTGCAGCAGGAGGCGTGCTGTCCCGGACTGGACTAGCTCGGGCCCCTCGCGCAGAGAGGGCCGGTCGCGCTTCACCTCCGCTTAGCTTAACCTCCCTCCTGCTCCTCGATACCCTTCACCACCTTTTCCTCCTTCGCCGCCGCCTACCTCCCCGCCAGGTGAACTGACACAGCTCCTTCTCACTTGCTCTCACTCTCAAGTCCATCTCCAACTCCCTCTTTTCTTCATCACGAAGCTTCAACTTTATCCATCTCTTTTTTCCCCACTCACTCAGGACCCCCACAACAACAATAACAACAACGTCAACAGAAGGGGGAAATTTGAGAGTATGTTCTCCAACTAGCTACCTAAGAGTAGGGACAAGAAAATAATATCCCCACCATCCTTTTAGATATTTACATTATCAGAAAAAATACATTTTTACTAACCCGCCTTAACTTTGTATATTTATCCTTCTTTTTGTTTCTTCCTAGACAGAGAACGAAGACTCTGGTTAAGAGTTCAACCCCCTAAATCCAACAGGTGCTACCAGCAACGTACCACCTTGAACCTAGCAGGTTCAGTAAGTAGGATGGTACTGACAGGCTCACAGTTGAAGATCCTTTTGATTTAATTGATCTGAAAGATCATATTTCTATAAGTTTATATTTCTACCTTTGAAGTTGATGATTTATTAACAATCAACACAATTGACCCACAGTGAAAAACATCTTGATATAAAATTTTTTCTTTTGGTATAATCTTTTTTTAACCCTCAACATTATTTCTCTGATAGTTATGAAGAACTAATGTGTACTTGGAGCCATGGATTTTTTAAAAACAGTCATGGCAAAAATTGATATCAAGATTAAAGTATTAAAAAAATACGATAAATGCATCACTTTCTTTTTCTTCACGAAGCAGAGCTGCTATCCAAGCTATCACTGTCCAAGTGTGTTCCATTGACAGCCAAAGCAGTCACAGATGCACTTGACTCCGGAGTATAACAATAACGGAATCGCGGTGTCTGCACATATTACGATCCTGTCCGCGGAATGAATTGAACTTTAGTAATTGTTACACCCCGACAATTTATTAACTCAAGCATATAAATCAACGCCTGTATGTAAACGCGTGTAACCAATGTATGTAATCAAGTATGCGTATCCGAGCCGTGTGAAATGTTTTTCCCCTTTCAGACAAAAGCGATCCCCATGACGATTTTTAACCCCTGACAAACCACGTCCAATCGTCCACTAAACTCACCTACCCCATCTCATTTTAAATTTACATCTTTAATTTTTCCCACTGTTAATTGCCGAAAAATTCAGCTCTTTATTTTTTATTTCGAGGGGTTCAAATGTGATACGTATCAATCGGAATGCCAAAAAAAAAATAAAATTATAAATGGTAATTATTTATAAATATGGTGCTTTTTAAAAATTATTAATTATTCTTATCGTACATAAATTGTAATAAATTATCAATTTAACGGCTGTGCAACAGTTCAACGAACGTACAATTTTTTAAAATGAGCTCTTGCACGTTTATAAATATTCTGCTTTACGTAAATAGTTATGTTATGCACCCTTCACACTTTACCGGTCAACAGCCAGTCTGCAACAATTCTAATACCCAAGTGTCTACGCCCCACATTCGCGATGCACTTGCCGTCGCACTCCAAACCAGCTGGGGCACCTGTTACGTCCAACGTAAGGTGCAACTTTAACATTATACCCTTATATCGACATCTTCTTTTCCCTTCTAATATTTATGTTGCTCAGAGATCATTGCCTCGGCCCTTAATGGGCCCTCAATGACGCCAACACTTTTGAAGTACATTGAGATGTTATTTCAACTGTTCTCCTCATGACATTGTCTACTAAGTATTACTTTAAATAACAAACAAAATTAATTATTTATTAAATAATAAAATTGGTGATTATTTTGAGTAATTAATTAATTTGAAAAGGAATGAACCGTAAAATTAATTACTTTTAAATTTACATTAAATATTTTTTATAAAATCCGTATAATTATTATTTTATTTAATGGATTTTGATATTATCATTTTTTTTATGACAATTATAATGAAAGAACTTTTTTTTTTTAAATATTTTAAATTCAAAAATAAATTTTTTTCAAACCAAAAATCGTTCTTTTTTTTAAATAATATTTGTAATCATAATTTTTCATCAATAAATCTTTAATGGAATATATTTAACAATAGAAAAAATCTTTTAATGACAGAACAAATGGTGGTGAGTTATTTAAATGCACTAAAAGTATGTAATGCACTTCAAATTATTCCAATATGACATTATAAAACACTTTTAAAATTCTTGTAATTAATTAAAAAAACATTTTCTTCTGTAGCAAAAATTTTTCACTCATTATATGCTCCATTTATTTATCAAATCCATAAATAAAAAGCTATCAAAAGATTAAATGAATTTCGAGTCTTTAAATTAATTATTCGATGGGCATTCGATGAATGAATACTAATACTACAGCAGGTGTAGTAATAATGGTGATTAATCATGTGAAAAATTGATAGAGAAGCAATTAAAAAGCACCTGGATCGTATATGCAAAGTCAATAAACGCTGAGAAAACACCCCAAAAAAAATACCAAATATTGTAACAGTATAAAAAAAATAGAGATACGTTAGTTAAATACCTTTAAGACGTCTGTTAGACAGTTAATGGACTATCGAGACTGGCAACGAGCGCGGGAAACACATGTTAGAATCAGCTGGTGCTCGAATTCACCCCGAAAAGTGACTTCTAACCGTTAAACGCCCTTCACCCTTGGCAAAGCACATGGTTCTTAAGTGCGCGCCATTCTCCAGGGGTATTCCTCGAGAAAGAGAGACAAGACACGCACACAACTCATTTCGACCGCATTCTTATTAATGGCATACATTATTATTGCGGGCGCGAGCACGTACCAAGGTAGGGTTCCCTTGAGCTACACTTTTTCTTCCCTTTGCCATCGGTAACGGCCGCGTCAACGGTTCCGGGCACCTGACGCTATAACAAGTCTAATGTCAGACCCTCAACGAGTTGACTTTTAACAAGATCTACTCTCATTACCGTATCTCACGTACCCTCTTTCTGAATAATTAATTCCTATCGACATCACAATAACTCGGCAATTACATTTTCATGTTAATGCACACTTTAATCATCATGAAGACTTGATCTTTCAATTTATTACGCTCTTATTCTTGTCTTCGTATAAATTAACATCCACTATTCTTCTTTTTTCACTCTGATAGAAGGATTTCTTTGAATGTAACATAATTTATTAGCAGTTAATAAATATGTTAGTTGAAAAAAAAATCAAATGAATTATTTTCTAGCTGTTAACAAATATTTTTTTTTTTTTACCCAAATACTGTGATTGAACTTACAATGTTAGATGATAATATTGTCTTTATGATGACTTAGCAATGAATAAAATAACAAAATAATTATTCTTTTCTGTAAATGTTGAAGTCAAAAGTATTATATAATGCATTACATAAAATAATAATATTTATTTGTATCAGAAAAATGCAGGAAAAATTTTTAATAAATGTATTTATTCTCGCCAAATAAATTCTTCTATCAGAGCACGTTGACATGAGTCTTCAGGCCATTTCTGTGAACACATTGATTAGTGCCTAGCAGCAATAAAATCTCCTTGCGCGTGGCACTGTCGTGAGGATGTTAAAATATACTAGGGTATAATCTTCGTGGCAAACAAACTGATTCATCAAACTAATTTGTGTCTCAAGGCATCAATTATTGACTCCAAAATTCATTAAGTGGTTTTAAAATAATTTTATATGCAAAGATGTTTTTAATTAAATTCAAAAAAAAAATTCTAAACCTTTTTTTTTTAAGTAAGTAGATCATGCCAACATCCTAAGAATAAATGAAAGATCGAGAAAGAACCGGTGCAGTCATCAGCAGGTGCTACTGAAGATCTTGACTGCTTTTTCAAACATTCAGATGTAATAGATTATTTTTTTTCAATTTCTCCTCATTTTTTCTAGACTTCAAAGTGTCTGAACTCCCACCTGCCTCTCATATAGTTGTAGATAATTAATTTATATATTTTTCAATCTCAAACTTTAGCCTTTTATATCAAGTTGATAACAGATTTATTTATTGCTTTTTTTTTTTGGAGATAATGATACAATAAGTTTTGCAGAGTAATTAAATAGTGTATATCATTGTGATCATGATACGAAGCTTCAGTGATATATAATTCTATCAGCAACAGTATTCGTTCCAAAGTCTTCGGGGTAATGAGAAAATAACACGAAATTACACAGCAGAAGTAACCGTGCAGGCGGCTTTGCTCTTAATTTTTAACGCTACCGGAAAATTTAGTGTAGAGTCTAGACCTTTATTCTCACTTTTCTAAGTACTAATTATTTACAAAAATCAATCCAAATCTTTGGGGTAAAAAACCACAACGATTTGGAAGGATGATGATGGTGGAAATGAGTTAATATGTGTAAAGATTGCCAACATTACTCATCTCTCAAATAAAAATAATTTTAAAGTATGTTTTAAAAATTAGTTTTGGTGCATTTAGTGTCCACACGATAAATTTTCCATCCCCATTGATTGTTTATAATTAAATTATTTTTTTTTTTTACAATTTTGTAAAAATCTTATCTATCTATATTTTATATATTCATTTAAATATCTATTTTTGTCATGGGTGTTTTTAGTTTAATTGTTTATACCAAGACATAAGTCTGGAATTGTTTTCTTTGGTGGTTCGGTGTATGACAAAATTACTACCCCATTACAATAACTTCCTAATGGAAATCTTCTAATAAGAATATAATTCTAATTAAAGAATATTAATAAATAAATAAAAAAGATTAATTACTTCAAAAAAAATATTCGAATGAATAAATTATTTTCCCTAAATTGTTTAAATTACCACACTAAAAAAAGGTAATAATTATTTGATGATTTAAAAATCAGTGAATTAACCATTTAACCGATTAATTTCTTTTACCTTTACCG